TTAAAAGTTGTAAAATGATGTCATGGGGTAGGACTAGATAAGTCTAACTTCTTCCTACTCCGTTCAAGCATGTACTAGGTATAAGTAAATTGATATTGGATTATTATTGTTGGATATGTGTAAAATTACATGTGTTGACATATCAACTGTTTTACATGCTTGAACGAATAAATCAAATCAAATCAAATCAATCAAGATTCAAACCCCAATCTACTTTAAAAAAAACTGTTTAAAAAAGATAAAGCTTTGACAAGAAAGGGCTGTAACTAAAGTTGTGTTCAATGTGTATTACTCTGTAGATATGTTTTTGATGAATCAATTGATTGGGATATAAATGTCAGAAAAAAGTGAAAGCCCACTGAATTAGCTGAAAACTGCACATAGTGTTGGTGCTCTGGAGATATATGGTTTTAGTACAGTCCAAAAATATATGATCATAGAAGACTTAGAAAACAAACAAACAAACAAACAATAAATAAAAATAAAAGCTTGCAATTAAAAAGTTTGCACCAGTTAATTTTTAACATTTTTAGCTTAAACTTTTCACTTAAACAAAGGTTGTTAGTTTTGTGTCAGTTGAATAATACGTTAATCGATTCTATACCTAAATAATTATGTATTTAAATTGGATAATTCTATTTATTTCACACAATTAAATAAAGGATCACTGATGACTTTCACAGTAACTTACCCTTTTTGTATTAACAACAAAAACTCTAATGTAGTGAGTGGCATAACAGCGAGAACCAGTGGTGGCTTTAATATCTACCTGGCAACAGATCCTGTCATCACATGAATATCACTTGACTCCTATTAAAAATCTGCTGCAGTGAACTTGTTTCCCCCTTCTTGAAGTAGCTTGGCCAAGGTCACTGCAAAAAAAAAAAAAAAAAAACACAACAACAAGAAAACAGAACAAAAAACAACAAATCTACAGGATAACCTTGTCAAACTGAGCTGCATATGTCCCCAGAAATGCCATGGATCACACTTTCTCCAAGATTGATGGCGTTATTTTCAAACTGTAATAAATCACACACAAGTCAGTGAATAGGCACAACTCTGGGGGTAATTTTCCAGCTGTTGTATTATTCCTGTTCAGGTTTGTAATACAATCTAGACTTTATAATTTATTTGTAGGTGTGTTTTTCTTCTTATTTTGAACAACTCACCGGGGTGGAAAATAAAAAAATAGCGAGTGTCTTTAGGTGAAAAACAGAATGGAAAGTTATGCGCACAGTGCAGAGCTGCTGAGTTACCACGTTGCCCCATCTAATGGTATTTACTGTCTCAGCAGTTACACATCTGGGTGTTGGTGACAGGTATGTAAAGGAGAACCGGGTACAGATCCCAAACATGCCTGAAACTTTCACATAAGGACTGTTACTTCTAGCTTACTTCCAACTGGCAGTTTAATAAGGGAAAATGACTCGCAGTGTGCATGTCTTGTCAAACTACAGAAGGCCACACAAATAACTTCAGCCAATCAACACTTTTTCTTTAGGGGCTCATATTTTCTGAATAATAAATTGACACATGAACAAAAATGTATTATAAATGAAAGAAGGGCAACAAACATATAGCTAACTGGATATGTGTGCATATGTGCAACAATATGAATCGAGTAAGTCAGCAGAATCCACAAATTGAAATGGCTTCCTCTTCATGCTGACAATATGACATGATCATGAAACCTCTTATAGTGGTTTCTGATTTATAGAACCTACTCTCTTATATAAAAAAAAGTCACGTTCATCCTCAGAAACAAGCAAACATGGTTGGATGTAAAGTGTCATCTCCTATCTTTCTGTTTAAGACACCACTCATAAATTAAGCTGAGAGAAGGCAACGGACTTCATATTATTTTAGAAGCAGTTTTAACTATTGTCCAGGTATTTCAAGGCTAAATCTGTGCTTCTGACCATATAGACTACCAGTCAAAAGTTTGGATAGGCTTTAACATTCAATTGAATGGAAAAAGTGTGTCCAGACTTTTGACTGATATTGTATATGAAGTTTATTCAAAACTGTAGAGCTCAATTCGTGATATTGTTCATCTCAACATTGTAAGAGCAACAGCATTTCACAAACTAATATATCTTCAACTGCCTGACATTTTGTGTTTACAGGTTTGCCAAATTATTGTTCTTATTTTGTGTGAAAAGTAATTATTGTGCACAAAAATGCTAATGGTATGTTTTTCATACAGATCAGACAGTGGAGTCCATCAGCTGTGCACTGTTTTGGCATTTGTGGGGAACAGTCAAATGTCTGAACAGCTGGCGACTCACAGCGCACCGCCTGGCGCCCACAGCTCTCCGGGCTGATAAGTGCTGTGAAAGAGGCAGGGGATATTCATTCAGGACTGAGACTCGCCACATCCTCAACAACCCAGAGAGCAGTAAAGTTGGATTAAAAACGCCATCCTGGGGATCTAGAGCGCTAACAACTAAACTAATGTTTCAGCGTAATGCGCCCTGGCGCGATCAGGAGCGCAACAGAAGGTGAGCGGTCATGGGCGAACATTTGTCCGTCTAAGTCAGTGACCGAAAGCGAACAAGGTAACCCGGGGACAGAAGAGTAACGGGGAGCCACAATGTCTAATTCTGCCCCCTATCAGGGAAGCTTACGGAAGTCTTCTGGTGTGACACGTGGGAAGAGACCACCGGATTTGGAATTACAAACCAAGTTTAGCGCGCCCGAACCAAGAATACCTGTGGAGAACAACACGTTGTCTGGAACTGACAAAATGCAAGAAGACAGCAACACTCGCGTCGAGGTACCCCCTGTTCTCCCCCACCCGCGCCTATCTCATCCCCGGATGTCAGCGCGGATGTCAGTGTACAGCACCGGTCCAGTCCGACATGTCCTCACCCGCGCTTACATCCAAGGACGAGTGTATAACTTCCTGGAAAGGCCTTCTGGCTGGAAATGCTTCGCATATCACTTCACAGTGTGAGTGTTTTTATTTTCATAATCATCCAGATACATGATGTATTCAAGGGTGTAATTGCAACTCTAAGATCCTAATTAAACAGGGAGTTAATTACGCATATAGAGCATCAGAAGCCCGTACTTCAAAGCACTGTTAATCCTGTGCATTCTCGAAACATGTTGCACAGATATCACAGCACAACTCGAGGTCCCTCTAGGAATATTATAAGGATATTTTAGTCTAGCCATTGCAGATGAAAAAATATCAGATCATTCATCACAGACAAAAGACTCCTCAAAGGACCACTAAAGGAATATTATAGAGAACTGTGATATGGGAGATGATTTTCCTCAGCATCACTGAGCATTTAATTTTTAGTTTGTGTGCAGCAGTACAGATGTTTCTCTGCTTTGAACTTAGTGAGTCTGTAAAACAGAACGTTTATATTGCTAAAGCTCCAATGTTATGACAATGTCACATTATATTTTGCCACCCAAAACTGATCAGACACTTTTGCCATTACACCAGTAATGTAATTCCAAACAATAATGTTTCTTTTTTCCAAGTGTAATCCACTGACAGTCCAGTAGATCCAATATGGAGCGTCCAGGCAGGCAGAGGTTTAGGAATGTGGGATATGATGTTCCAGCTCACCCCCGTGTGTCTTCACTTGGTGGCACTGATAGAAAGCAGCTAAACTTGACACTGTGTGTGTGTGTGTGTGTGTGTGTGCTGTGGAGGCGGTAGCGGCCCTGTCTGCTGCTGCCACCCTCTGACCCTGCAGTGTCGGAGGGGACACAGGGGAAAGCAGCCTGTCGGAACAGGTTAGAGTCTCAGTGACTCAAGGGGAGCAAGAGCCAATGAAGTGCAACTCAAACACATTACAACCTTACCACGGGTAACTGCACACTACACAGTAATATACAGTAATGGCTGCTATGATTACAGGAAAGCATCAAACATTTTAATATTATTTGACTCTGCATTAGGTGTAAATCAACCAGTGCTTTAACCTTTCTTTAACTGCTGATTCCAAGAAGGCTCAAAATGTATGAACTGACAGGAAACACCACAGTGTCAGTGTCACATTTGACTTTTTTTGGCTGTGAATTTTGGCAATAAACTAGAAAACCGTTGTTTCAGTGATGGTTGGTTGTTTTCTGCAATCAGTGTTCACATTTGGCTACTGTTTACCAGAACTGCTTTGCCTTCAGTGACTAAAAAGGATATGATTGCAGCAGTTCCCTTGTTGGTCATAAATACTTTGTGGAGTGTAAACAGTCTGCAAGAGTGATGCTGCACTTTGTAGTTTGTGTACAGTTATGGAAAACACGATGGCACATGCTAACATAACGGCTTTATTTCTACCTGTGACTCTATTGGATGACTGTTGCAAATTAGTTGTTGGCCTATGTAAACATCATTTTTGATATATAGAGTTGGCACAAGCACATGGTCAAAGCTGAACAAATGTAATCTTCACACATTTCATTAAGTCTGCTGGAGCCACCCAGGAGATTGCACCAAGTAAGGACACGCATCTTTGAATTTGTCTGTGTATATGGGCTCCAAATGAAGTGAATAGGAGACAGAGCAGGACAGAAGTGTTAGAGGATTGCACCTTGAGTTACAAAGATGACAGGAAGCTGTACATCCAAATCCCCAAAACCTACAATGTACTTAAAAGCACGTTTCGCTGCAGAGTTAACCAGCATATCCATAGTTCGAGTTTTGTTACATTTCATTAGGTAGGATCAATCTGATAGTACATCATAGTGTATTTTAGACAAAACTCTCTCAGTTCTACCACCAGGTCATTGTTTTAGGAGCATAATACTGGGAAGTCTAAGCATCCAGAAGGTCTTGGGGTCAGTGCCATACCCTGTTGTGGCTGAGCGAGAGAAAAGCAGTTAAGAACAAATATGGCCTTATCACGAACGTCAGTGAGCTGAGGCCTTATCAGAGGTACCCTTGTATGTGTGTGTGTGAGTGTGTGTTTGCACATGCATACAGTATGTATGTCAGTTTGTGTGTGCTATGCTTACAGAGACTCTGGTCTGTTTTATTCTGGTAGAAATAACTCAGTAGTGCATTTCCCTGAAAAGGAACATGATATTTAGCATTACAGTGTTAATAAAGTGTATCCCATGCTCTCATGATAAACACTTTAGAAAGAAAGAGCAATTATCCATGTTTTATTTATTACTTTTTGCTGGCTTTAGCCCGACACTTGCTTGGTGACTGTCTGCAGTGTAGTAGAGTTTAACAGTAAAGGCAGTATTTTAGTCGGGAGCAGCATGGATCCACCCCACATGCTGTTTATAAATGAGTCGACCAGGAGAGTTAAAAGAAAGTACAAGTCTGAAGGTGTTTTTCAGACCTGATATTCTGTCAAATGAAAAGCAGAGATGGAAGTATGGAGATTTGAGTTCGGGTCAGGTTCCACTCCCGAACTTCAGATAATTACATTATCTCCATTTCACTAGCAGGGACCTGCCCTCACTCAGTACGAATGGAAGTATAAGGATAGAGAATGCTTGTGAACTTCACAGTTTTGAGGAAGGCTGAGGAGGTCGCGTGCTCTCAGGCACTGGCAGACCCCCAAAAACCTTCAAACAAATAGGTGCAGTCCAAGTGGCTAAGAGTCTCGAGGTTTAATTCAATCCATTTTCAATTCAATTTATAGTATAGCGCCAATTCATGATGATAAGAAAACCCAACAAATCCCCCTTGAGCTAACATTTGGCAACAGGGCCTCGACCGGTTGGGGTGAATCGGTGAACCATTAAAAAAAAACAGCTGGTGCTGTACAGACAGGAGTACTCATTTTATTTGTGAGCATATAACCCCATACTAGCTGACTGAGACTTTTATGGTGATCGAGCCTTAAAACCGCAATTCAGTAAACTGTATTTTATCCTATATAGCATATTCATCTTAACTTCTGCTTTGTGTTGCTTTTGCTTGAATCACTTTTTGTCTTTTATCACTCTAACGCACTTCACAACAGTGATAAAAATTAAGTATGATTGTTGTTCCAAACAGGAGATTTGACGGTAACAGCCAGTGACATGGTCACCAGCGTCACTACTAACTCTTATCCTGTCCCCTGCTTTGTCTCTACACTCACTGCACAACAGACTGCAAGTGAATCTGTCCATCAATAATAGATAGGAGCAATGCTTTGGGCCTTTGTTTAGAGTTCGGTGGTGCCTATGTAGCCGAGCCAATGTATTATTTTGTCTGCTGCTACACCAAGCCCACAGGTGCCAGCCAGTGACACAGAGCCTGTATTATCTATAGGCCTGGAGGTGAAGGAAGTGAAATACAATGGTGCAGTCAGCACACAGGGACTGAGGAGTCAGGAAGTCTCAGATGAATTCAAAGTGAAGCAGAAACGTATGCTCAGCATACTGACTGTGCATGTTTACTGTCACTTCATATGCTTTGAAATAATGTAAGCAGGCATCACTGATAGATTATAACCATTAGCATGCCAGAGAAGTTGCTTTGGAAAATTTGATGTTCATTTGTATTTCTTGTGATCCTCTGCCACATTTGAAGATAAGATTTTTTAAATTGCAGCTGTGTCTTAACTCAGGAGCATTGTTTTTGTCGTGCTTGTCTTAATAGACAAGTCTGGCCAGCTGCTTTGTAAGTTGTGTTATACCCCATCTACTCTGAGCACGTCTCTCCTCTGACTTTTATCTGTGTTGACGTGTGACGTACATGTTCAAGCCAGTCGCTTGTGTGTATGTGTTAGTTTAAAGGGGGTATTTGGATTCCTGGCCAGTCTTCAATAACTCAGGCTGTAGCATGCAGTGATAAGGGCTTTCATGATGCTAACAGACTGGAAACTAGAACTCCCTCTACACATAGTTTCCATCAAGTCTTCTCAGTAGGAACAAGCAATTCTTTAGGAGCTTTCTTTTGGAAGAATTATTGAAGTCAATAATGACTAAATGACAGTAATTACATGAGTGATTTTTGTTTTTATTTAGTTTGTTGTGCATAGCTAAATATTACAAATCACAAATTTGTCTCAAGGGGCTTTATAGTCTGTACAACATACATCACCCTCTGTTCTTAGACCCTTGAATCGGATATGGAGAAACTCCCCCACAAAAAACCCTTTAACAGAAAAAAAGGAAGAGCAACAGAGGAGGGATCCCTGTTCCAGGGTGGACAGACATGCAATAATTGCCATGTGTTCAGAATAAATCAACATGAAGAACACTGTATAAACAAATTTGAAAAAATTATCTGGGAGGATGAGCCAACTTCCAGTGCCTCCAAAAAACTTGAGCCACACAACATCCCCTCCACAAAAAGACCTGGTAGGAGGAGAGACTACACAACCATATGAGAGGCAAAATCCATGCAAACACTGCACACATACAGGGGAAAGAGACAAACGCACATCGGAGAGAGAAAAAAGGACAAAGGGAAGTAGCAAACAAACAGGAAATTACCAAAGGAAGGGAGAGAAGGACATAGAGGCTGGAACTCCTGAAGAACAAAGATCCAGATCCAGACAGCTGAACAGGCACTGACAGCCAGAGGAAGGAGAGGTCCCAGGATGGCCCATGGTCCAGCACAGAGAACCTGAGCGACAGCGAGCACAGGGAGGAGGAGAGAGAGAATGGCACACCAGCTTGGATGCTCATGTGTTTGAGGGAAAACCAAACAGCGTTAGAGATGTAGTGGTTTTCAGAAAGTTTGCAGTAATTCTATCAGCAGGACAACATGGAATATGCTGTATATGACTAGATTTAATATACTGTATACATCAAGTCTGAAACCCATCACTGGGAGAATAGTAGCAAATATTAGGCACAAAGCAATCAAGACTTTGCCACTAGTTGAAAATAGCTGTGCCTAAGTACAACCTCATATAAAAGCTCTATACTACTATCTCTTTATATATTAAAAAGTTCTTATTACTTTCAAACAGTTTAGCCAAGAGGGACCATTTAATTTTGATTAATATCTGATTGATTTTTACCTTACTTAAAAGAATAAACAAAGGCAAGATTTTTTGGGATCTTTGCGTTGTCTTGTGCATTTTGAGTGCTTATATGTACGTACATATTATCTTGCCCCAGGTGCATATAGTATATGTAAACGTATGGCAGATGCATGCAATATTACACAATAGCAGTCAAACTTAATTTGGTCAACTAAATGTTCAGTAGGCATTAGAACTGTCACTGCATCATGTTTTCAAATAAATAATTGGGGCATGGCTACATTTGTAAAAGGAAACTAGCTTCATAGTGCCTCCACATAATTTTGTTCTGTCTGCCAAAAACCTCAGATGCTGTCATATCCGTTTACCGTAGAAGTTCTGCCCTTCATCGCCATGTCCTCATTGCCAGTGGTGATGACAAGAAAATCACTTTGTCCTTGCCCCAGTGCTGGCATTTTTGCAAAGTTTCAATAAAATTAATTAATTCTTAATTTTCTAAGATATCGTGCTAACAGACAAACTGTTAGAATGGGGTGAAAGCATGCAGCAACCCCAGCTTCAACTCTGATAGCAGAGGCAGTATTGCAGTAGCAAAAATGCACTGAAGACTGGAACTGAGGCTGTTCCAGGCTTGGCAGGCTGAAGCACGTGAAGAAGGTTTTGAGTTTGAGAATGACACCCCACCTATAAAGCAGTCAGCCTTGCTTTCCCATTTTCCACTGCTGCCATTAAATTAGATCTCTCCCTCTGACTTTTATGATCAGCTCTGAAAAATGATCACTAAAATTTATTTGGAGTTCCAGGGTAGTATATGTACACTATTGTAGGTCTTTGTTGTAAATATAAGCTGCTCTTTTTTTTCTATATAGTATACATGGTCATAAAAGCTTCAGAAATCTGGTTGGTCCCCAAAATTATAATTTCTTTTAAATAGCATAAAAATCAAACTTTCATAAGAGAGTGTTACTTATGTTTTTGGTGTAGTGTCACAGCAACATGAAGCCTTCTTTCACAAAATCACAGAAATAAAATATTTTTGTGTTAAGTAGGTGGAGGAGTTAAAGAAGCATTGTTGTTGAAACAGCTGGGGGGGGGGGATTATATGATAAGTTTATCATGCACTTGGCATTCATATAGTAGAGTTCAAACGTGCCACTGTGTTTCCTCCAGAGGGCTGTCCTTGAGTGTTTGCTCAAATTCAGTCAGACACATTTCATGACAAAAATACTAAGCAATGTGTTGCTGTCTTGAAACTTGTTTCTGACAGTTGTTCAGAAGCTCAGACTCAAAACAGAACACAAAAGTTGACTGAAGTTTTTTTTTGTTTCAGTTTAAATCAAAGTGTGAACTGTTGACAGAAATATGAGATTGGATGCTGAAAAGTGCAATGAGGAGACTTGTGCTTATATGACTGTTGGAGGTTTGAGAAAATGATGTTGATTAACCAAGAGCCAGTCCAATATTGTTATGCAACTGGATGAAATAAAGAAAAAATAGAATGATCACCACTGTAAAGCTTTAGATCTTTCTCACATTCAATCAAGACTGATATATGATCTGCTTTATTTGATATAGGTTTTTCATAGTTCTGGCCTGTCTGATCCTCAGTGTCCTCTCTACGGTTGACCAGTACCAGGACCTGGCTAAGAAAACACTCTTCTGGGTGGTGAGTTCTAAATCTAATCTGGTCTACTTGTTTCATTTGTTCAAGCAGCCTATTTTATTGTTAAGTGACATCTAGTGGTCACGTCAGACATCATCAGTCTTTAAATAATATGCCCAAAAATGACATATTTACATTCATGTGACAAAACCCTATAGTAACAATGTCAGGAGCGAAGGATGAAGTCAGCTGATGTTATAAACCAACAGAGACGCATAGGGAGCAGGTCAAGGTAGATGGTGTGCTCGACAAAACATTGGACTTTAACATCAAAGGCCGCTGTTCATTTCTTGCTTCACACCAACAGTCAACACTTTTTACTGTGACCACAATCATCCTTTATCCACATGTTTATTACCCAACTGACTGCATCTTCATGCAGAATGCAGGTCCATCATTATTGCAGAGCTGTTTATACTCAGACTAGGGCTATATAAAGTTGGATGGTGTGACACATCTAACTTGATACTATTCTCTTTTTTTAACTCTTTGGATTGAAGCATTTTTCCACTACAGGCACTTACGTGAAGCCTCCTATACCCAGTAACAAAGACTGAGTGAGCAACTGTATCAAACAGCTTTTGAAGAAGTGTTTATTTACAGGGAATCTCCACAGTGTACCTTACACTAAATGATCCTGATCAGTGGTTCATGGACCACATGTATCTTAAAGATATAAGTCAGGTGATTGAGATTTGAAAGAATCTAAATCCCAAGAGCAAGTTGCACCTTTTTTCTTATATCAACACTGTTTCCAGTGTACTGTACTGTAGGCACTATAGCCTTTCCCCCCTCTGTTGTCTCTTTATCTGTTCTTTCCTTTGATTTGCACCATCTGCTGTGCACTGTTTTGTCTGTTTTTGTTGGTTGGCATCTCTAAACAGGCCTGATTCTGATATATTAAATAGCTAAAGAGGAGATTTGCTCATATTCCATGTAAAACTTTACATATTGTCTGACAATTCAAGTGAAAATGGGACATGACACTGCTGCCTTCAGCCCTTCTGTTGTTAGTCACACAGAGGAGCCTACAGAAAGACTTTGGAAAAGGGTAAACTACGGTCCAAAACTCCGACAAATAGACAATGTATGTGTGCAGGGTTTCCAACCCAAATCAAAACTACATAGACTTTAAAAATAACTGCTACTGTATTTTTAGTAGCATTGATAGAACAGATGATAGATCATGTGTTGAACTGTCTTGAACTGTGTTTACTTGATGTACAATATATCTCTGTTTTGGTGGGTTTCTGGTTGGAACCCGTGAGCTCTCATTGTTTTGGTGGATTCTGTGGATCATTTTACACTCATAGCCTAGTTCTGAAAAAATAGACTTGAAGCAAAAAATAGGCTTCAGGTTGCAGCTATGTGTGTAAAGAGCAAGTGACATGCCAGCTGACACACAACAGTGTAGACAGCTGGACTGATTAATATAGCAGTTTTTTGGCTGTATGACGCAACTCAGCTCAAATACAGGGCTATAGTTCTATATATGGGTCAGAACTGGATCAGCTTTATTGTGGGCGATAACAATCCTGTGAAATATGCCCAGATTGGCACAGATACGGATACTTAATAGGCCTATCAGACTGGGACATCTCTAGTGTCTAAAGTTAATGTGTGTGTTTTTGTAACATTAGCGACCGAGCATGATATTGATTTTATCTTTGCACTGAATAATATCATTTTAATTTCAGAGTAATTCAAGCTTTTTGTAACTTTATTGTTTTCTGTCGCACAAACTGGAGCGTTTTATTGGATTGCTAAATTTACTTGTTAGTTAGTTAATGCTGGCTTTGGAATGGAGACTAGAGTTTGTTGAAACCGGACATCCATATTTTACATTGTTGCTATGAAATAGCGGCCAGGAGCAACTTACGAGTTGCGTTACATTTGACGGTGCCTGCACGCTGCTTGCTATTTAGCATAGTTAAAATGAAGGGAGACCACACCCATTTAGCACAAAAGCAGCACTGTGCCGTTTGGGTTTTGGAGCACACTTATGATGTCACTTTGGCTCTAGTGGCTAAAAGGAAATTAGGTAGAGTAGCTTTAAGAAAGCAAAGTAAGAGTGAGAGTAAACAGAACTGCACAGGATTTTTTACAGACAATTTCAGGGTGTCCCACTGGCCCCAGAGGGTGCAGCACAGCAGACTCCACCTCTAAAATCAGTAATAAATTGGATAAACTGAGACCCCGGCTACTGAGCACGTTTAAGCAATGGGTGGGTCACTCAAGCTCAGACAATAGAATACTCCAAGAAAGGATTAAAAGAACTTGAGACTTGAGGTCTGGACCATGCCACATGTGGCAGGTTTACCTTGCCTGAGGATAATTGGATGAAATGGTCATGGGCTTTCACAAACTGGCACATCAGACCCTCAGATCCTACCGGTTCACTGTGGGATTCATAGAGATTCAGGCTATTGCAAAAGTTCCAATGTCTAAGTCAGACCCGTAATTAACGAAGTGTGAATTTTGTTAATAAACAGCACAGTGTCATCAAATATACATGTTATGGCACAATGTTGTTGCTCATCCTCTGGACATATTTAATCATCTTATTTTCCTGTTCTATGGAGATAATGAATAATTAATATTTGCTCTGCTATTAAACCTATCAAAATCTCAAACATGTATCGTTTCCATCCCCATCCCAAAGGGACTGTTTTGTAGTTTGTACTTTCTAGTTTAGAGATATTTGCCCTGAGCCTGCCATTCTTTCATTCTTTCCTCCCCACCACAGAAGCACCTCCTTTGTCTTGTTTCTTTCTTCCTGCACACTCAAGGTTAACAGAAGCTACTCTGTTCTTTATTTTGAGATGCATCACTGGCTCACAGTGTCTGCAGTAGTGTGTTTAGCCAGATGCTTGGCAGTTTGCCACATTTCTAAAAGAATTTGTTGGTCTTTTGGGTCCAACATGAGCGTAAACTACATTTTACTTTATTCTGTAATGAAATCCTGGCAACAAGTTAGTCAAAGAAAGCATTTTGTGTGTCTCATTTTTACACAAAGTAAACCATTTGATTCTTAATTATGTATGTTTATTATTTTATAAGCATAGTGTACCTTTTACATGTACAGTATTTCAAATGTACCGCCCCTCTCTGAGTCTGTGCCCCGTCCTGGCCACTTTGTCTAAAAGTTTCTGGGTCTGCCCGTGGTCAAGTGGGGATCGATAATGGATTTATTGGCAATAAATTTTTAATTTATCACCAGGAGTTTTTAAAAGACATAGCTGTAAATTGTTGACAGAACACTATTTATTCAATGTAAACTTGTTCACCTGCTCTAGGCTGTATCATGTGGTAGAGGACTTTATCTAAATTGGACAGCTTACAGTGCCCTGACATGTTTAAATCAGATTTCAAAAAGTGTGCTCATAAGCTAATTTTATTTAATGTTCATTTGTATAGGGATGAGTATACAGAATGAACCAGGACCTCAGCATTTGTAGCCTAAGATCATTTTTAATGCCGGTTCCTGACAAAGATATTTGTTTATTACTGTAACCATGAGGATGAAGGTCCTGTAACCTTGATGAAGTACAGTATTAAACCAAATCACTAAACCTAACAAAGTAGTGTTTGTGCCTAAAACCCAGCTAAACCGTGTCATTACTGTAATCATTAGTGTGTGTTTATGATTGTTTCCATAACCACGAAGGTCCAGTACTCTTTCAGGTGGAACCGTCATTTAAAGCGTGTGGTTGTTACCATAACAACAGAAGTCTGGTAAGTGTGCTGCTGGAAGAGTCCTTTGTATCAGGACAAAACAGGTTGGAGGACGTTACAGTTACTAAGCAGCCACAGTGCAAAAGAGCAGTGAACTAGTAAACTAAAAAGTCATCAAAACTACTTCCAAAATTCCTTTCTTTTTCATGCTGTTGTGAATTTTTGCCTCTTGCCTTCTCCCCGTGGATTTAATGCTTAGTTTGGACTGTTTTCATGTGTTTGATACCTGTTTTGACCTTTCTCTCAGTGTCTGATTCTCTCTGCTTGGTTTGACTCCCTGGATTGAAATGAAGTGTTTTTTTTATATTCCCTGTGCATTTGAATAAACACTTTACATTACCTGTCTGCCAGTCTGTGTCTGTATTTGGGTCCTAAGTAATAAATCGTGACACATTCTTGATCACGGAAACAGAAGTTGACAGTGCAATCTCTGCAAAAGGTTCACTTTTTTGATTGGTCTGGAGTTTTTTGGCCATAACACATGGTCATGGTCAAGAATGCAGTGTCAAGCCCCATTTGTTGAAGACCATGTTATACAGTCAAAAGCACTGGAACAAGTGAGTTGGCTACTATTTCCAAGGTCAGAATTAACTGTCAGACTCAGCTACAAGCATCTGTTTTGTTTCTCCCCTTTCTGTTTGTTAATGTATTGCTGTTTTGGATAGGCCATTTGTTTTTCAACCTTGAAGTCCTTTGAGTAAACAGAGGAAAGCATTTTTCATATTAGCTTCGAAGAGCACAGTTTTACATATTAATCCCATTTTTGTTTTACAAGATGTGCTACTTTATATTCACTGACATTTTAATCTTTGGCTGTGAAGAAAAATATCTCCAATAATTCCCTGCTGTACAACATAGATCACATCTTCTGCCTGAAGCCCCCAGTTTGTTCCTCTCATCATTCACTGCAACAAGATCAGGCCAGCATTAAAAGTCTACAAAAGGCTGTTGATTTACTTCAGACTGTTTCCAAATGCTTGTCAGTGCTTAAGAGATACATGAAGGTAATTGTAATCTCATTCACACCGGTTTATTAATTTCCAATGGTGTAACTGTGCGCTGTAACAATTTTTTTAAACATCTATTTGTCCTCAAGGATCACCAGAGGAAATGTGCTTGGACTAGAAATAGAGCAGCTTTGATAGATAACCCTTAAGGGCAACACACACTGGCTTGCGTCCCTCCATCAGGATACACTGTTGTCCTAGTTACCCAGCACTGACATGCGTCTAAACAACATTCCCTCTCCAGACTGAAACATTCCGACCACTGTACACCTTCATCTTCCGTTTGTTCTGTTCAGAGCTTCTTTTTTGTACCTTTTGCAATGGCTAATTACAACGGATGAAGGAAAGCTTGTTGACCCACAGTGCAGGCATTGTCTGGTGAGTCATAGCTAGAGATAGAGTATCTGCTCCTCAGGTGAGAGATCAAGTAAAAACACACACAATCTGAGGCAACAATCACGTCATGGTGGAAGTGTTTGGAGCTGGCCAAACTTTCCAGTGCTTTCTGGTTATACTAGGCTTTGTAGTCGCCGGTGAAGCACTCATAATATTCAAACATTATGAGCAGCAGCTGTGATACTGCTTGCTAGAGATAAGTCTTTCTGTAATATTTCAGAAGTCAAGATGTAGATACAAACTAATGCTCTTTATGATTAGACAGCACCAGGAATGGAGGATGTACTCAAAATATTTAGTGAAATTGCAATGCCACATTGTATGAATATACAGCATGTACTCTATATAAGCAGCTTTCGATGTTTTAGTGGAGCTGGTGGAGCTGGTTTTAACTACTATTAAAGTATCTTCATCCACGATGTTTTTGTCAAAAATCAGCAAGGCTGAAACGCGGACATACTCACTCTTCTTGGTAGTCCCGCTCTGAATTCGCACCGCTCCCAGTGTGTGTTACGGGCATCATGTCGCCCGTGCTGCTGAATGAGAATAATCCATAATGAATTGCTTTGACATGATCGTGTTTGTGTGAGAAGCTGTGCATAACAAAACGGAGGAAGGTGGGGCAACAGCTGTGCAACAGTTGTATCTATAATTTAATATCTGTTTTAAAGCTCACTTTGCTGAAGTCTGAGCAGGTGTTCAGCTGTTGTTGCACTGAACAACCTCCCTCACCATCTGATGTTTGTTTATTCCCACCTGTCCTCCCTCATTTGTTTGTTCTGTTTCCCTCATTCCTCTGACAGGAGATCATCCTTGTGGTGTTTTTTGGTGTGGAATATATTGTCCGACTCTGGTCAGCGGGCTGCTGCAGTAAATATGTTGGTGTCTGTGGCCGACTGCGCTTTGCCAGGAAGCCAATATCTATTATAGGTGGGGAAAAAAACCCATACACACACATATCTATACACCTGAACATATAAGCAGCCCTACGCTATCACTTTCCTCCCACACACAGAATTTAAACAATGTCTGCAATGGCTTCATCCTAAAATATATCTCAGACAAATTCAGCATGAAATTAAAACTGTCACTGCAATATTTTTCTCCACCTTCAGCTTTTATTTCTTAAACTTTCCTCCAGGTGCTGTTTTTTTAATACAGCAATGGATATTAGTGTTAATATTGTTTGTAATTCCTCTCACCTGCATTGATATATGGAATAATTTTGTAATGAAAACCAGTGATAATTTTTTAATAAAGCACTTTTCCCTCCACTTTTATAAAACTAGCATTTTCTTCTTTGACTTCCATGAAACTCATGTAGAGGACAACCTTTGCTCTAGTTATTTGATACCTCTGCATATTGATCATCCGCATGCTTAAGTCATATTTATACTTTTTCTCTATCAATACAGATCTGATAGTTGTTGTTGCCTCGATCATTGTGCTGTCAGTGGGTTCCAAAGGCCAGGTCTTTGCTGCTTCTGCTGTAAGGTAAGAGATGGTGTACATGTTTTGTGCAGATGGAAACTACATGGCCAAATATATGTGGCCAGTTTTTCATGGTTTGGGGTCACACACACACACACACACACACACACACACACACACACACACGCACAGACAAGAGAGTGCATCAGTTTGGGGAAGGTTTTTCTTATTTCAGCATAACAGTGCTCCCCTGAACAAAGCCAGGTCCATAAAAACATGATTTTCCCTGTTTGGTGTGAAAGAACCTGACTGGCCTCCACAGAGCCTTGATGTCATCCACATCCAACGCCTGTGGGATGTGTTGGCCAAATATATCATCCATCATCAGTCATCTTGTGGTTTAATGGTAGCAAATTATAGAACGCGTTCCCAGAAGAGGGGAAGCTGTTAAAGCAGCAGACTGATTCCCATGGTATCGCACAGTCATATACTGTATACATACATGGGTGTCCACATGCTTTTGGTCTTACAGTGTGTGTTTACATAGCTATAAGCATTTGGTCTATATACAATGTAAGCATTTACACACCTTTGTTATTTGTCAGGGGGATTCGCTTCCTGCAGATCCTGCGTATGCTCCACGTTGACCGCCAGGGAGGAACCTGGCGTCTCCTGGGCTCTGTTGTCTTCATCCATCGGCAGGTACACACACACAGGTTAAAAAAAAAAAAAACATTACATTTCTGCTCCAAACCCATCAGAGCTTCTAATTATTATTAGTGAGCTGGAGGCTTTCTGTCAGGGGATTTATAGCCTCCCTTCATCATGTAGGTTGTTATTTTTTAAATTACTATGCAGTGAAGAGAGAGAGAGAGAGTTTTCACATGAGAATACATCATGCAGCTAAAAGATATATTCAGAGCTACCATAGGTTAGGCTTTTTAGGGTTATAGATTCTTCTCCAAGAGAGCTGTTAGAGAGAGAGAGAGCTGTGCCTTCCCCCAGGGTATCATTCAGTTAAGACACAGGGGTGGCTGTGATTATCAGCAGTGGACACGGTAGTTGCCTTTGATGTCTGTGTAAAAAGAGAGAGTGATGAGCAGCATCAGGGATGTTGCTCATTCGGTACCACTTACAGTGTTTCCTTTGTGCTGGCATTGGCTGATGACCATAATGCTCCTGGCTGAGACTGGTCATCAGCAGTCATTGGCCTCAGCTGAGTGCAGGGGAGACAGTGTGGCCCTTTCCTTCCAGCTAGGCATTCACAGTGGGATATCACTCTACCTGAAACATTGCCACGTTCATGTCATTACAGGAAGATGAATGGAGAAAAGCCAGTCACATCAGCCTCTGACTTGTAATTCTAAGATGAACAATTTCTTGAATTTCTCAACTGTATCTCCCACTTGGTGAAAAGAATCAGATGTCAACAAACCCATGACTGTAAATGTACCACCCACCCACTGGTAGTTGCATCAAAATAAAATCCAGTATTAACACTAATACAATCAGTTCAGCTAATTTAGTAGGAACTATACAATGTTTGTTTGTATCTGGTGTCAAACAACAGAAGTGGCTAATTTAAGATGATAATCTGCTGTGACAACAGGTTTAGCAGTGGGGCTCACCAACTTTGCATGAACACTCCTAAAGTTGGAGTCTTGTTCCTCTGCTTCCCATTTTAGGGCACTTCAGATCAAGGGTATAAAATATTGGGATGCATTAATCATTTGCAGCCATAGCTAGGAAACATCTATCACCATGAATAATGATGGATAATGACTGCTCGTTTAGGTGTTATGTTCTGACTCCCTGTCCTGTCCGCAAGCAGTGACCTACAGTACTTCCAATATTTCAGACAAAGCAAGCACAAACTGGAGAAGAAAGTCAGGAAAATAGGAACATAATTCACTGTATCTAGGAGACATAATGTTCTTGCCCATTCCTTTAAACATTTTATGAACCCCTCAGATTTAGGCTACATGACCAAAATAATATTTTACAAAAGATAGCATTTGAATTCATTTGATGATTCCTCCATTATCCAACACTGCCATTTCCAGCAGGTTCAGGGCAGTGTTAGAATGACATGTCAGTGCTGGTGTAGACTATATGAGTGTTTTATGTGCACAGTTCCACTTACACTAGCTGGTTTAGGATGAGCGTTAATAGGGCTCAGGCTTCACACAGAGGCACAAAGGAGGCTGAAGAGAGAGATGTGCAAGATTCTGATTGATCAGAAGCTGAGATGTGTTACACAGGGGACCTTATCCATGAGAAATATGCTCTTTGTATTAATGCTCTTCTCCTTATTCCATTTCTCATTGCAACTATTCAACTATAGGAAATCATAACTTCTGTTAAGGCCTCATACAGCATCCATAGGCCTTAGGGAAATAAAGTGTGTACTCATACAACAGCCAGTGCAGTACCCGGCTGAACGCTGATGTATTGTAGTGCAAGTACAGTAGTTGTTCCTTGATGATTTCCTGACAGTTATGGTTAAGTCAGCACCAGAGTTGGGCATTCATAGTTGTATATAACTTATAACAATAAGTGAGATGGTCTGAGAGGCACACTGTTAACCCACTAACCCATATTAGTTAATCCAGTGGATATAATTTGAAAGGAGAAATGCTCTTGGACTAGACATATTCATTTGGAATCATTAGATACTTGAGATTTTGACTCTAATTTAAAGACTTAAGGCTTGGCTCAGACTCCAACCCCAGAGACTTCAGATTGACTCAGACAAACTCATGAGCATCTCTGTTCAACACTGAAGCAGAATATCTTGTTCATTCTCTTACATGAACACATGAAACTGCAGCCCCTGTGCATTAACAGCTGGAGGTTTTAAAGTCTGTAGATTTTTCATTCACTGTGATCAGTAACCAGTCTGTGTTGCAGCATTTAAATACACACAGAGGAACATTCTGGTGCTTGTTACACAGCTCTCGCTGACTCGCTGGCAGATGGGAAGCAGGCGTCTCCTGAACATGTCAGGTCACAGCAGCTGCAGCACAACTACTAAACCTCAGTGACTCAAGGACAATGCACGTGAATGCGTTAGAAGCTGGTGTGTCCGAGAATCATACTGATGAAGTGACATTAGATTTGATGTGAGTTAGGTCTGATGCCCCATGGTTAACAAAAAATTGTGTAGTTATTTGAAATACACACAGAGGTGCTGAGTAAAAATAAAGTGTATGTAGTATTTGTGTAGAACTGACAAGGATAGGTTTATGTTATTTCTGTGGAGACAAGCACAGTCATTTTCTGGGTCAGGTTTACAATAATCTACTGCTGCCCTAGAAAATTGGCGAGTGACAGTTTCGGGCTGAGACACAAAGAAGAATTTCACTCATCAGGAGTTCAGTCCAATTGAGCGCAGCGAGTGCGCCGGCATTTTGAGTGGCTAAGCAGTCTAAATCACACAGTAGGTGAGTACAAAGAGAACATTCACGTAAAGAGCTCCTCCGCAAAGCTCTAGTCCAATTACAGTCAGGCAGGATAATCGTTAAGCCCAATTAGACCCCATGAGCAAATCACAGACCTCTCCCTATTGAATCTTCAATAAGATGCTTTGCAGTTATTTTAAATACTGGAGGAGAGATTAGTTATCTGGGTTTCAAACTAATTTATAATAATTGAGTGCCCAGCTGAATTTAATCAAATCCCCTACAGTGATTAATGATTATTATGTAAGATATGTTCTCAGTATATTCTCATACTTTAAATTCAGTGATGCTCCTGGTTCTTTTGTAGCTGCACAAAGCATAATGGTACATTACTATATTATTTGGATTACTTATGTTGCCCTTTCACATCAGTTTTTAATTTTGTCAGCTAGTTTTAGATTTAGTCTAATTCTTAGTCCTGAGTTCAAAAGTCAGTGCTAGTTTTAGTCATGCCTTGTGGTGTCTTCGATTTTATGGCTTTCATCCCTGTAGCCACAGGGCTTCTCTCCCTACATCACTACACATTCAAGTCCTAATGTAACCCCATTTTTATTCTGACCAAGCCCTGCTGTTAGTGTCATGTACTTTTCACATCACCATCTCATGCTGGCCGAGCTCTTACAGCCATAGGGTGCAGCTAGGTTTGGGCTTTAGTGCTGTTAGTGGTGCACTGCTGGTGAAAAAAGTCAATGGGGATGTGATTTGGACAGAAGGGAAGAGAAGTTTGCAGCCATCCAATGACAATATGAAATTCTGATCACTTGACTGCTTGTATGGCAATATATTAGTGCCTCATTCCTGAGCGTACAACTGATCACTCTGTGTACAGGAAAATGTGTTTCACATGAAGGTATCATTACCATGCAGTGAATAAATGAGTTTGAGCAACCAGAAATCTCTTCTGTGCTTAATAAACATATTTGCATTTTTGCTATTATCCATATAAATGTGCATCAATAACTTCTCTGGTTCAGCATTACTCATTTACCCTCAGGAATTGTTGCTATTGCTCTTGCACAGCCCCCATAGCGCTCTCTCAACATTTGAGCTGTTAACGCTCAACTTTGCCAAAAGCTTGCTCAAGCCACTCAGAGACTGGAGAAGGTCAGTTGTGATTGGCCAACACTTTATGTCAGTTGTTCCTTTAATTTGTCACCCATATGTACTTAGCTGCCGCTTAAATTGAATGTGACTATACCTTTAGCTCAGGAATGACACACACAAACATTAGACTCCAGGCAGTTAAATGGTAAACTGATAAAAATGAAAGCATGGGGGCAATCAGAAGGGACTGCAAAAGAAAGAAGGTATAGATTCACAGATATTAGGGTCTTTTACACATTCCCCATGTTGTTTACTGAAATATTTAATGCGTCTGCATGTGTGTATTTCAGGAGCTGATCACTACCTTATACATTGGCTTTCTGAGCCTGATCTTCTCCTCGTACTTTGTCTACCTGGCAGAGAAAGATGCAGTTGGCAGCAGCGGCTTAACTCAGTTTGGAAACTACGCTGATGCTCTGTGGTGGGGAGTGGTAAGAATATGTGTGTTTATCTGTATGTTAAAAGTTTGTTTTCTTCACCACTGTTAGACCAAGGCCTCAATACTTACATTTACTTCAATCACTATTTTACATGGCTGATATATGAAGGATTAGGGTTGAATGTCTGTATTGTTATTGTACAAAAACAACAACTTGCCGTTTTATGGGTTTCTTCATGCCTGACTTATCTGTCTGTTTCCCTCTGCTTCCAGCCTTTATTTAATTTATTTGTTTAATTTGAGTTTAACCTTTATTTAACCAGGAAGGCCTCAATGAGATTGAAGACTAACACACCAGGTTCCAAACACCCCTAAAAACATCAGCAGCCAGTTAGAAAAATAGGTGAATTAGTGAATTAAAAATTAATTAATCAGCTTTTGTAATTATTTTTTTTTATTTCAAATACTTATTAAATCCCTGTAATTAATTTAAGATGATTTATTTCTTGAAATAACTGTGGAGGAGAAGTCCACATCTTAAATTGATTCTGATATTATACTACACATTATACTAAGACTGCAACTCTTTCATTATATCATTAACATTAATATGGCTATTAAATGTATTATGATTCACAGAAAAAGTAATTTCATCATCATCGTCTAAATATTATTTTTGTGAATTTCTCATCTTGCTAAAAGTAGGGTTTTGCAGAAAGCACTGTTTTGACAGTCTTTCAGGGAGTGAAAGGTCAGATATAGACTGTTTTATTTGTACTACTGTTGTTTTAGTAGGAGTTGTGTCAAAACCCGTTTGCACATCTTGTGGGCTGCTAATACAAGCAGCAAAACAAGTAGGGGAATATGGGATGAGAATTTATTCTCAGGCAGTACATCATACAGCCACTCTACTTCTCGGAAACTTTAGGGACACTGATATTAAAAAAGAACTTACACAAACACTGCCGTTATAAAAAAAATCTCTTCTATAAATCGTTTAGTTTCAGTATTTACACATGATATACCATGATCAGGTTTGAGTCCATTCATACACTCATAGACAGTAGAAGATGAAAAATGAGAGTCAGAGCGATGACAAGATGAGAGTTGTGGGCCAAGGGTCAGGGAAAACATATGGTAGAGTGGGGTGGAGAGACTCAGAACCTGATGATCACAACCACTGTCAAGTCCAAATGAAGTCACAGATCTTTGTACCGTAGTCACTTATAAGTCAGTCATGCTGACTAGTGAAATGACAGTATTTGAATAGTTTCCTTATGAAAGATAAATGGTGAATGGCCATATATAGTGCTTTCTGATGTTAAAGTACTCAGAGGTTTGTCTTGGAAGGCTGAAGTAAAGGGGTACAAAATATGAGAACAGTGAGAATTCACCATTTGCCATAGCTATCCCAAAAGTACAGTATCTACACTTGCATGTTGCTACTTTGTGCTGTCATGTAATTGCTGCTTCTTAATTGCATTCAGCATTTTAATCTAAGTTGCATTCTGATTTATATGTATGCATTTTAAATATTTTTCTACCTGTGTACATTTTGTATGCATTGTAATATTTGATCTATTTGTGTGCATTGTGTTTTGTGTATGAAAATGTGCTATATAAATAAACAGGCCTTGCTTTTTTTATGCAAGGAAGCACACTCAAAGTGCTTCACACTATTAGCCCATTCAGCCACTCACACAAATGCTCATACACTTACACAGTGGTGATATCACCAGGGGCAATGTGGGACTCGGTGTCTTGCTCAAGGACACTTTGACACGTGGACTGGAGTAGCCAAGAGTCGAGCAGCTAAGCCTATGTTTAGCGTGTGATTACCGCTATCTAATGCCAAATGTATGAATATACAGGGTGGTTCTTATATTAATTTCAATGTTTTTTTAAAGGTGACAGTGACTACTATTGGCTATGGAGACAAGGTGCCACAAACTTGGATCGGAAAGACCATTGCATCCTGTTTCTCAGTCTTTGCCATTTCCTTCTTTGCCCTGCCCGCAGTAAGTGGGAAGAGATACTGTAGTGCTGTTGTATAATAGGAGAACGTTCAGGCTAAGGTTACATGCACTCACAAATCCTAATCAGTATCGCTTCATCTCTGAGGTTTCCTATCACATGTTCGATTTACCCAAAAAAAAAAAACAACTGTCCCTGATGGAATGGTGGGTTTAAAAACTATGAATTCTACTAAAAAAATAATTTTCATTTTACCATTTTACTTTTAATTGCAGTTTTAATTTGTTTGGTCTTTGGTTCACGTGTAAACCACAAAATCAAGTTTTACCAGTCACTGCAAAGATTTGAAAGGTTTACAGTTAACCAGTGTTTACATCCTGCTCTACATCCTACAACAAATAACATTGACAACAATAACATAGTTGAGAAACACTTTGTGATTAACAACACATCAAACCTTAATCTTAGTTAACTTTATTTCCGCCTTTTGGATCACTTAACCCCGATCAACCCCCCACCCCACACACCGATCTCTAAAAAAACTGTGCTGCTGTTCGCAGGGAATCTTAGGCTCAGGCTTCGCCCTAAAGGTGCAGCAGAAGCAAAGACAGAAACACTTCAATAGACAGATCCCAGCAGCTGCTTGTCTCATTCAGGTATTTGACCAAAACCTCCTGAAACACAGCCATGGTGCCGAGAGGCTGAACTGTCTTTGTGTCTTGATGCTATTATTGCGATCTTTTGATGTAGCCTGTACTTTCTTTCTTGCATGGCAGATATTGGTGTGAAATTTATCCTGTGCAACCACTATATTGGTATTTTCATGCCCTTCCAGACATCTTGGAGATCTTTTGCTGTAGAGACCTTTGATACTGCCACATTCAAGATGTTTTTGAGAAAGAAGTCCCACATCACTGCCTCCTCTCTGTCTACTCCAAAGCCCAAAAAATCGGTTCGTAATCTTTTGATAGATTTCACTGTAACTTCTTCTTATGCTCTTCTTACACTACACACAGTTTCCTGTTTATTTGGTGCACCAAGGCAACAGTATTGCAGTCTGAAGCAAAAGCTCTTCAATACTGCAAATTTTACCTTCAATAAGGTTACAATGTATAACGAACATTTTTAAGACTGTGGATTGTTGTAGTGTGAAAGTGCATTGTTGTTGTTGTTATACAGTAAATTGTTGTAAAAGTAGGGGACAAAATAATTGAAACGCCTCTTTGGATAGCACAGGTTGCATTTGTTTTAGGTATGTATACCTAATAAACTAGTAAATGAGTGTATTGGTTCACTTTTGTAATGGCTCATTAGACTGAATTCATTAAAGAAATAAATCAAAGTCAGTAACAGCTCAGATGGACTCAAGGGACAAGAATCTACTTGATACTATTAACATTGCCACAATTTATTGTTATGGTGTCCCTCCAGACTAGGCCTCATCTTAATGTTGTCAAATGTCACAATAACAGCAATATGAGATGTATACAAAATAATCATATAGTCTGGTAAATTTACTGACCTGACCCTGCAACGGTAATTCCAGTGCTGCAACATTTAGGCCCTTCATCACCTCACTACTTTATTTCCATGGCTACATCAATAAAAACATGACGACTCATGCATTGTGATACGGGCTCTAGTAATATACAGTATGAAGTCAGCAACCACAGGAAGTCAATTTCTTGTGCAGTACAGAAATATTTGGTCATGTTTATGAGGAGCTGATTGACAAGTATATACATTACCCTTGCAATGTTTTGTTGCAAGAGTAAAACATGTCAGCATGTTTTAAGCATGGATAGATGAGCACGAAAAAATGTTTTCAAGCTGAACATTGTTTTGCTGTTGTGTCACAACAAAGGAACACTTTGCTGATCTGAGATATTTGCATTTCTTTGGCAGGTGAAGACAAGGAAGAAGCTGAGGAGCACTGACAAGGACAACGGTTCAGCTTCTCCCACCGTCCCCAGCATCATGTTCGACTCTTCGTTTGACAGTGGGAGGGAGCTGAGTTCAGATGTCTACAGCACTGTGTGCACAGGTACTTAACACTGGGACAAAGTGTTACTGTATGTCTGGTGCAGTTGGTTGACAACATATTTAAGAATACACACAGGCTGTCGCATGATGTTACAGTAAACAGGACTCATATGTTTTACCAAAACTGCAAATAGTCTTTACATGTGTTCTATAGGTTAAAACCAGGGTTGTAGTACTCAAGTCTGAATTGAGTCCAGATTTTCAGGACTCATAACTTGACTTGGACTTGAGCACTGATGACTCAGACTTGGACTCTGACACTAGCATTGACTGCATTTCAACTCAGAAGTTGGAGATGAGGCCTTTTTATAATAATTTGGCATAAGACACTGATATAAAAAACTGTCTGTCAGCACCATCCAGCAGACTTCCAATGAGGCATACACTCTGCCTTTCTATAAAAAATTTTTATGTATCAAATTGCCAAACAGTCTGGTGAAGCAATACACTAAAACTGTGAGAGCCGTGCCAGTTGTGTCTAATGTCTTGATGACTCTGACTTGAGTAATGGGGACTCGACTAGGACTTGACTCAGACTACACTGGGATTACTTTTTGGTGACTCAGACTTGACTCAGACTCAAGACTTGACTTAGACTCGTGCTTAAGTGACTACAACACTGGTTAAAGCAGGTATTAAGTTTCTGAGATCATGTAAATTGTTTCATTAACATCAGAATAAACATTTACATTGTCACTCAAGATGCACATAAGCATAGAAAATCAATGGCTAGTGCTTCACTGGCTGCAAACTGTACATTTACTGATGGTACTGTAGAAACAAAGCATTTCATTTAAGCATTGTAGCCACAGGAGGGGAGAGGACAAAGTCCAAACATTAAAGATGGATGAGCACAATCCAGGAATAAAATGTGCAGTTGCACTGATTAGTATGAACTCCAGCAGTGCTTTGCATAAAAAACTTCACACAGCAAACAGTACTGTTGGATCAATAATAAAGAACTGAGAGTGATGCAAAGAGGAGATTCAAATCGTATACTGCCTCCAATCCAGAGAGTTACTGCAACTGTGAAACCTTGTGGATTTTAGTGATAATAGTTCATAATAATATAATAATCTAGATGTCATCTAGTTTTATTCATGCTAGCAGTCGGCCAGTCTGTCAGTCTGTCCACCGCTTTGGTCTGGGCCTGAAATATCTCAACAACTATTGGATGAATTGCCATGAAATTTTATACAGACATTCATGGTTATCAGAGAAAGAATCCCAATAAGTTGGATGCTCCTGTGGCTTTTCTTCTAGTGCCACCCGAAGGCCTTATCACTTATCAAATTTAATGTCTTAGCGTCTATTGGATGTTGATGATTACTTTGGTACAGATAATTGTGCAACAAACAGCAACACACATCGTGTGTATAGCAAATAAATTTGTGTCTCTTCACCAGCAGATACTGTATGTCAGACCTTCTAGGCAATGATAGATACCGCACGCTTGTACTATACCTTATTCTTCTAGTTACTGTATATCACCAACACACTTTTATTTTGTCTTATAAATGCAACTCCCTCTATTGCTGCTCCCCATATGTCACTAATGTCATCATTTGTTCTGACTGCAGATGCAAAGATTTTATGACGTCAGTTAAAGTATCGATTGAGGATATTATTTAAAATGGATATGTACATAGATAGAGAGCATTAAAATAAGTGACCCGCAGCCAGCGACCTTCTGACAGTCTTTACAGGCTCAGAATAAAAGTTGTTTTCATCAGACCTACACTAGAGAACATGTTGCCTTTGTTACAAACACTCACTAATTCAATATCACCTTTGAAACTGCCTCATTCATTTTTTTTTCTAATCATTTCATTTTCCATATTTATTTATTTCTTCCCTAAAGGTTTTATCCTCATTTAGTGTTTTATTTGTAAACTCCACCTTTGGAAAACATTTATATGAATAAAAGAAATTACTATTATCAGTGCTACATGAAGGACATTAATGGGTTTTCTGTTCCAAGCAGATGAACAAGATGAGATGCTTTCAAAAGGAGAGGAATATGTATACCTTCAGTATGCCCATAATGTGTAATCATCTACCTAGACTGTACTCTTAACAGACTCTTAACTGTTGTTAATTAATTACATAATTATATAAATCCTTTTCTTATACACCAGCTGGTAACATGAAAAGTTGCCCTAACAGCTGCCACCAACATGTAACTGTGCCATTGTTTTTGCTTTGCACTCCATTCTCAGGACCGTAGAATTTACAGGTGGATCCATGTCTGTTCTCGTCATATGCAGTGAAAGTGTCTTTGACATGAAGCAAAATATTGTTGCTTTGTCTTTACTTCGTATTGTTGAGATATTGACTGATAGTTAGTGGATTATTTTAAATTCAGCACATTAACAACATTTTTACTGAGGCATTTTGGCATTTTTATCTTAAGTAAATGCTGAAGAATATTTCTTCTATCACTGGTCTTTTGTTCATTGTCGGTATAAGTATCAAGTGTCCTGCTATTGCGGATTTGTTGATTTCAATCTTTTCCCATTTTGTGTTTTTCTGGAGCTACTTATGTAAATGGCCTCTGCTCTTTTTTCATCTGTCTATAAATCAGCACATTTCAACCAACTTAATTGCCTATTTCCTTGTTTGTGTGTTTTCTTCTCTCTCTCTCGTTGTTGATTTGACCATGTACCCGGTTCAGAAAGATCCCACACTCTGGAAGAATGTGGTGAGCTGCTGTTAGTGTCCATGTCCTGTACACATCCTCAGTCCCTTCACTGTCCTCTCTTACTTTCTAACATACAGTCAATTCTTACCACCTCAGTTACTATAACAGCATGTTTTTTTAATTAGGGCATGATTGTGTTGTGAGACATTATGTTATCTTAATTTTATGACTTGTGACTGAAAGTAAAATTGCACGTTAAGAGCCACAGTTTTTGTTGTCGTCATTTATCCCCTGTGGTAAACACTGATCATGTTTGTGTTTCTCTTTACATGTGCTTCAGATCACCAGCAGTCCTGGACGTCTTTGTCTTCCCTCCAGTTTAACTCAACATCTCTAGGTAAAATGCCATTTGTTGATGTGAGTATTGTCATTTGCAGAGTGAACCTCAGTTTGAAATGTTGGGCCGGGAAGAATAAACTATTATAAAAGGTATCTGGTACATCAGTAGAGCCGTTTGTGTGGTGGAGTACCTATCAAGTAGTTAAAGCAGCTCTCTGCTATTGAGAAGCATCAGTCAGTTTGACAGGGCCTGTCTTGGAAGATGGAAGACCTATCCTGGTTGACAGCACCAATTATTAAGTCCAAAGTCATTTTAAAGCAGATGCTTTTCACAGTGTTTTTAGTTTCACACACCAAAACCAACCATAAAACTAATTCTGTCACACACCTCTAGCTGGCACAGTTTCAAAACACTGCCTTTGCTAATTAAAACTATTAACCGGTTTCCACATCATCTCTCCTGGCTTTGCCAAAGACTTCTCATCACTGTTGAAAACATAAAGTTGTGGGTTTCAGATTTTAGCAAAATGTAGAGGCACAGTAAAGTTTCACAAAGTAACAGATTAGGGAATTGTCATGTTATTCATCAGGCCTGCACAGAATATGACAAGGCAGGCCCAAATAAAAAAAAAACAAAAAACAAAAAATGGAAAGAAAAAAGTAGCCAATAAGCCTTTGCTCTTGTGTTTTGTGGCAAAAAGACAGATTGCAGGTAACTGTTTGCATGTGACTTTTGAGACCCTCACACTATAAACCATCTGTCTTACCTGTTTGTCCAAATGAAGCTCTGTTTCACCTTTTTCTCACTATTGGCCAGATAGCTGTGGCTGTACACTCAGATATTTTTTCCCATCTGAAAATGACAGCTGTGTCTCACAGAGTTATGTGCAGATCACACAAGGTCATAATGTTCCCACAGTGATGAGGGCTTCCCCAAGTCTTTGGGGATTTTGAGACACTGCTTTAAGTATTTTTTTTTTTTACTTTTGTTTCAGCCATTTACAATGGCTATGACTATTAACTTAGCAAGTTAATGCAACACATAAGCTAATTTCTTCCTCTGTTCCTGTTAGGCATTGTAGGATGCACAGAATTAGTAGAGCAAAAGATAAAAACAGAGCAATTAAATAAGTCCAAAGCTATACAGTGCTTTATGTAGTAAACTGGCTGGGAACAGAAGCAGCAAACCTAAATCAGCAGCATCACTGAATGCACATATATCAGCTACTGTATATATAACTAAAGACTAGTGTGTGTGTGTTTGTGTGTGAACGTGCAGTGAAACAAAGCCCTAGCCTTTTGGAAGTCCGCTCCCTTGGCCCTCACCAGAGGAACAGTAGCTTTGCAGATGACCAGGAGCTGGAGTCAGAGCGAGACAGCAAACTGGCTCCTGCAACCTCAGTGTCACAGTGAGTTCATCACTGCTTTGACACTGCACTGATGCTGTGTTTTGAACATACTTTAATGAGCATGTTAGAGAACTTTCGCATGTTGTTTTTTCCATTTGTAATTAACCTTTGTTATATGCCAAACCCTAGAGCACTCCTGTCTCTGCTGGGTAATGACTATTAGGGAAAAGCACTTGTACTTGCTGAGGCACTTGCACAGTAAGAGACTGAGACTGCAATGACGACATGAGTGTCAAGTAACTGCCGTTTAACATAAGTGTACAGTAAGTGAAACAAATGGAGCAACTGTTTTGACCCACGAGACTTGTCGCTGAACAGTGGGTTAATGATGCAGAGTGGGAATTGCACACAGCAGCGTTGTTGGCAAAGATCTCTCTGTGCTCTGCTGACTCCAAAATACATAACCAGCTGTTATCTCACACCAGTGCCACATAAAATCCCATGCTAAATTGAGCCATTATGAGACACTGCAGCCTGTTTCATCCAGAATGTTAGAAGATTGAATCAGTTTGAAAACTGTGCTTCTTACAACCAAATGTATCAAATAGCTGGAGCTTCTTTTAGACAGAGATTCCACTGTATTGGCATTGAGCTGATCCTTCTTTATTGCAGCTTTGCCAATTTATACTGAACTTTTAAAAGCCTGCATAATGCCTCACACAAATACCAGCATGTCTGTATTAGAGGTGTGACATTTAAAGTGATGTCCACCATGACATCTAACCATGCATGTCCATCCATCCGTACATCTATTTTCTACCACTTATCTGGGGTTGGGTCAAGGTGGCAGCAGGTTCAGTAAGGTCGTCCAGATGTCCCTCTCCCCAGCAACATGTTGCAGCTCCTCTGGCAGGATTCCAAGGTGTTCCCAGACCAGATGAGATATATAATCTCTCCAGTGTGTTCTGGGCCCCAGGGTCTCCTACCAGATGGACATGCCCAGAAGACCTCCAAAGGGAGGTGCTCTGGAGGCATCCTGATAAAATGCCCAAACCACCTCAACTGGCTCCTGTCGATGTGAAGGAGCAGCGGGTCTACTCCGAGCCCTTTCTGGATGTCTGACCCCCACACCCTATTTCTAAGGGTAAGTCTGGCCACCCTATGAAGGAAACTCATTCCTTTTGGCCACTTATATTCACGGTCTTATCCTTTCAGTCACTACCCACAGGGTTGGAGCATAGACCGAATGGTAAATCGAGAGCTTTGCCTTTTGGCTCAGCTCCTTCTTCACCATGTCAGTCTGGTACAGCAACTGCAAAAGATCAGAAAGGCACCAGGCCCAGATGGTCTGACCCCCTCCTGCATAAAGGCCTGTGCTGATCAGCTGGCCCCCATTGTCACACAGATCTTCAACAGATCACTGGAGCTGTGTGAAGTCCCCTCCTGCTTCAAACACTCCACCATCATTCCGGTCCCCAAGAAAACCTCCATCAGTGGAATGAATGACTACAGACCTGTCACTTTGACATCTGTAGTTATGAAGTCCTTTGAGAGACTGGTGTTGGTCCAGATGAAGGACATAGTAGAACCCCTGCTAGACCCCCTGCCCCCCCTGCTGAACCCCCTGCAGTTTGCCTATCGGGCAAATAGGTCAGTTGATGATGCAGTCAACACGGCACTGCATTACATTCTGCAGCACCTTGACTTCCCAGGGAGTGAATTTGGTGACACGACAGTGAAGCTAGTGATAAGCCTGTTTTTCCCAATAAAAAAATCACCAAAATTATACAAAAGCATATTTTTTCCCAAATGTTGGTTTGTAATATAATCAGCAAATGGAAATAGCACTAGTTGTACAATGTCCGTGGCTTTTGGGCCAATTTCGCATGTTGACTGTTGTTTTTAGGGTCTTGTTTGTTTTTCACCACTGCTGCCTCCTTTGTTCTTCCACAACCAAAAGACCAAGGACAGAGAACGTCAGTGCAATTTGCAACTTCAAACATAGTCTTGATTAGAAGCAGCTATAAACAACAGAAGTTAAATGAAAGCTGCTTTGTTTACGCTTATATTTCCGCAGCCCAACCCTTCTTCTTTTGCTTTCTGAATGGCAAATACAGATACCGCCACCTGCTGGTAGGGGAAGTAATTTTTCTCATGCAGGTGCAGACAGTGTGTGCTAGTTTGCTGTTGGCGGGAGTCTGTGTGGTGTGTTCAGTACAACTAGAAAATATAGGAAATATATACACAGTATTAAAAAACTGTTAGAATGTCATAAAAATCTGCAAACAAGCTGGTTACTCAAGGTGTGGTATTCAAGCTGTTACAAAGAAACATGAAGAGTCCAGAGAGATAAAGGACAAAAATAGGAGTAGAAGACCAAGAAAACTGTTCAAATCTGATGAGAGCTTTCTTAGAGTTTCTTCTCTGAGAAAACAGAGGAAATCCAGCAATGACCTGGCTCAGCACCTGGATGTCAGGTTGACCCTTCCACAGTCTGAAAAAACTTGGCCAGGAATGGCCCTTGTGGAAGGACAGCAGCCAAGAAACCAATTTTCAGTAGGAGGGCAGAGAGGAAAGACTGAGATATGTAAATGTTCACAAAGACTGGAGTGAAGATCAGTGGAAAAGAGCCTCATGGGGTGATGAATCAAAGTTTGAAATGCTCAGGTCCAGTCATCAACAGTATGTTAGAAGAATAGTTGGAAAGAGATGGAAGAATGAGTGTAGCAGCCTTCGGAGAAACTTGGTGGAGGGTCTGTCCTGGTTTCAAGAGTTCAAGACAGCCTCCCAAAAGAATTAAAGATGTGCAAAGAGAGACCACACTAGATACTGACTTTGGACTGTAGAAGCCATTTTGTTCTGAAAATGTGTTTTTGTACAGGTTTCTTTTATATTCTGGTTATATCTTAATGAAGACACAGAGAAATAAATATTAATTATTATTACAACCTTGCTAAAACAGCAAAACTAATGGTGGCCTAAGACCTTTGCACAGTACAGTATAAAATGTTAAATAGTAAGTTTTAGAAATCCTGGTAGGGGGATTATTTTAGCTTTGGGCAGAACCAGTCTAGTTGAGTCCCCCTGTTTCCAATCCATAAAGATTTACACGTTTGTTAATGTTAGGGTAAAAACATGAAAAACTTTTACCTTTCAGACTTCACTTTCAGTGCAATTCAACATCCGTCATAAGAGAAACTGTCTCCATGCTGTCTGTTTCCGCTTATATCATCACCATGTAATCCCTTTGTGTGAGAAAATGGATTTCTATAATAGCTCGCAGAGCACATTATTGACATTTTATGATATAGTGCTAACTTAACAGAATGTTATGAAAGCTGCATTTGAAAATCATCCCACTGCATTGCCTGTGAAAAGTCCATTATGAGACACAAACAGACCTTGCCCTTTCTGCACCTAACTGGACCTGACAAAATACTCAGTGGTCTCTCCATCATTGTTTTTCCATAGTAATGGACCCTGATTTTAATGATATTTAAAAAAAAATGTTTTATAGCTCACCTTGTTCACATTGAAAAGCAAGTCATAAGGACGAGGCTTTTCATGTAGCTGGAACACTTTGGATAGGAAGGCCGTGCCAGCCCTCTTTTCAGTTTCACCTGTTTCATTCAAGAAAAATAAAGCAGTGGTCGAAACCAGATCATTTTCAGAGGGTTACTCTTTGTTTTCTTATATTTTGTCTGACACATCTGTTTTTTTAACAAACTACTTTAATGATACTTTTTGTCACACTCTCATTTTGTTTGTTCTGTGGAAATTTCAAAGTGACATGAACCCATTCATGTGAAACTCTTGCACAGACTGACAGAGTCACACCGAAAAGCCATCCGCGTGATCCAGAGAATGCGTTACTTTGTGGCCAAGAGAAATTTTCAGGTATGAATGATACGTTTTACTATTTTATGGCACATTTTAGCTAAATAATTATATATAGCAAATTAAATGTTTTCCTGTTGTAGCAAGCTCGTAAGCCGTACGATGTGCGAGATGTGATTGAGCAATACTCCCAGGGCCACCTCAACCTCATGGTGCGAATCAAGGAGCTGCAGAGAAGGTGAACTTCTCTTCAGTTAAGATCTGCTTCATTTGAATTACATCCCTCGAGACAAATGTCCCATGATGGTGAAAAAAAACCTCATAAAAGCAAAAGAATGGAGGAGCAATAAAGGAAATGCATAGACACTGTGTGAATGTATGTCCTTCTGACTCAAGCCCTCTGTTGTTTCTCTCAGACTGGACCAGTCTTTAGGAAAGATAACTTTGTTCCAGCCAAGCTCAGGTAATGAATCACTCCACTGCACTCTCAATTTGTTACAGTAACTCTGAAACCAACCCCAGTCCTAATCCTCCTGTTTTATTTATTTTTTTACTGTTCTCTCTCCATGTGAAGAAAGAGCCAAAGACAAAGGCAACAACTCTATTGGATCCAGACTCAACAGGGTGGAGGACAAGGTGGGATTTTGTACAATGTCAGTGGAAAACTATAACAATATTCCTTTGTTTTTGCTTGTTTGTTTGTGAAAAAGCAAAGCCAAAAATTTACATGACTATGTTTGATTTCTATTTATGATTTTAACAAATACATTTCTCTACAGAGGATTTTGAAATTATAATGGCCGTTTGACTTATTGATATGAATTCAAATTGGGAATGGTTCTGGATAATGGAGCAGGAATTTGACTGGCTTTTTCTGTTTTAATGTAATATGACATATCTGCACAGGGACATGTGGCTCTGTTATTGTTGATTCAAATATAAAACTTTTACAGCCTGTGCCAGTTCTGCAGCACAAAAAGAGAAACCTTCTGATTGCTTTTTTCCTCATTTCACTTTAAGATTGCATCAAAGCAAAATTTAATTTAAAAAGTTGAATCACAACATCTCCCAGCTCCCTCTCCAAGTGTGCCTTACATTCCTGTCTTTCAACCTTGTGTATAATTATCAACCACAGTTCATTTCTTATGATACTGTACATTTTAAAAAGTGTTTTTGAAGGTTTCTTATAAGAGTAAATCTTTCATATTTGATCAAATTTTATTCACCTAAAATAGATAACCCGCATGGACCAGACTCTGAACCGCATTGCAGAGTCCCTCGCTCTTCTATTGGAGCAGGGGGATGTTGGAGGGAGCGAAGGTGGAGGCAGGCCCAGACCACGACTTGGACAGACCTCTAATGTCCTCCCCAGCCAGGACAGCCTGCCAAGCTATGACCAGCTGTCTTCATCACCTTCGTCCTTCTCTTCCAGTGCGCCGCAGCCTGCACTGTCCCACCCTTCAGCACAACCGCCAGCCGGGATGAGAGCTGCTGAAATCTGAAACCAACCAGCCTCAAAATTTGTATCTGTTTAGTATAAATCATCAGATGTACTCAGATCTAATGCAGTTTTTTCCTATTTACTATAGCTGCTGCTTTGCTGAATGTGAACTATCTCATCGAAACGTGAAATACATGGGACGTGACAGAGAACCATCATGTTTCAGCATTTTGTATCAGCATTAGTTTCGTAACCTTGAAGTGCAAAGTTTCTTACTTATCTCCCTTTTTTTGTCTTTTTTGAGTATTATACTTGAAAATGATTCATTTTAATACCAAAGACTTTGCTACTTCTTTAGCATCATGTACTGTGATTCAATAGACTATATTCTTTTGAAATAACAAATTTTAGGGCTTTCATCTTAGGGGAAATACTTTACTTTTAAATACTTCACTTGAAAAGTTCAGTTTTAATCAAATGTTTTCACTGTTTAATTTAATTTCACTTTTTGTATATGTTTAGAAATATTCTTCTGTAGCAATAAAAGATTGTAGCAATTGTTAACAACTGTCCACGTATTGTGTTTGGTGCCTTAAGAGCTCTGACAGATTTTGGTCAAGGTGGCTTGACTGAAAACAAAATGTTATGTATTTGCACTACAAAGTGAAATTTGTAAGTTTTTTTTTTTTTGTCCTTAGAACTCTTCACTTAAAGATGTGTATATTGGGTGTAAATCACGTCCTCGTTGACTTATGGAAATAGCTAAAAGCATGGCTAATGGCATGATCTTTGGATAGTGACCTCTGGGCAGCAGATGGTGACCTCTTCCCTGCTGGCCGTCCATGGGGTGTCCAGCCATTCCTGACCATCTGCCTCTGGTGTCCACAACAATGGTTTTGGGGTGCTTGGCCTTTGTGCTGACCATGAGGTGGGTGAGGGGAGGTTTTTCATTGAAGGAAAAGTGTGAAAGTTTTCCCCCTGGAAATTAGTGTTTATTGGCACACTGGGAGAGGAACTCAGTAATCAATATAACAATCATAAAAATCATCAGTCCGTCCAAAAAAAACACAACAAAAACAATTGGACTTTTACATGAATCACTGCTTTGCTTATATTTGCATCTAAGGCTGCACTTTACTATTTGTGGAAGCACCACATTAAGATATTCGAGCTGTAGAAGTACATAAATTCTGAATGATTTTTGATGGATTTCACTTTAATCCTTTAAACCTTTACATTTCTGAATCTAGAAACAATCCTAGTTGGCTGATATGTTAAATTAGGGACACTCAACTCAGTCCTAATGTGTGTCTTCACTGCAGTTTTCTCATTTAACTTTTTCTCATTTTGGCAATTTGATCAAAGCCTAACCAGGAGAAGTGAGAACTGTGCAGAAGAATATAGTTTCTAGTCCTGACTAAACGTACAGTGTGTTTTATTTTAGTGTGTTTTATGTGAACATGAATTTGTAACATTACATTATATTAAGTGTCACAATCACTACAGTGTTAGTGAAGGCTTCTATCACTGATGATGCACTGAGCAGCTTGTAGTGCACATCATTAAGGAAATTTAACTAAGGTAGTGGGTGTGGAAATTGAGAACCCATGGGACCTTTTGGACCCATGGGATAATTTGATTATTGATTTCTTGACCCATACAATGATCCTACACATAAATTCACTGGAACAGAATGTAAGACCATCTGTTGCTAATTCAGACATAGCACACTTAACATCGGTTGTCCTTGGCACTGAGGGGTTTATAAATGTGAATGTGGTGTTTGCATTTTCTTTTATGCCTGTGTGTAAATATAAAAATTGTCCCCTTGCAGTGGTGGCACACAAGCAAACATGAGCCAAAGTGAGAATAAACTAGGATTTGTTTGGGCACATGTCAGTGATAGTGGGTACTTTGACTATGAAAAGGGACAAAGTGAAAGGAGTGACATTCAGGAAAAACCTGGGGGGTCAAGGAGCTCTAAAAGCTGATTTGCAGGTGAAATAGATGGCACGCTCTGCATTGTGGCCATTGTCATGCTCTCCAGCCAGATGGCCTCTTGCAATTCTTTAGCTCACAAACCCCAACACTGTGGGAGTGAATAGGCCTCTGTGGGATGTAGCCTCACTAATGGGCTAATTTGGCAGTTACAGCTCATATTAAAAGATATAATATTAAGCTCGACAGCACAGTCCTTACTATTGTGATGATGATGAAACAGCTCATAATACATCCCATGAAAAGTGCAATTACTTTAAAACATTTTCCTTCTTTCGATTCCCAAATCTGAAGCATGAATCGACTGTTTTATGGCTTCAGAGGGACACTTATTACTGTAACTTACTCATCTGTGTCTGCCACAAAGTCAGCATAAAAACAAAGATGTGGCTTCTCATAAGACATATTAAAAAATAATAATCATCATAATTTGTTAATCTCTTTCAGCAGTGGGCACATTTATAAGATCAGTATTAATGCTAGTAAGTTATCACAGTAGCCGTTAGATGAAGTGTTAGTGAGTTAGTAGTAACCTCAGTTAAAACTTTGCAGCATGTAAAGGCAAGGTTGACAAGATGTTTGACAGAGTGGGATTGGAAAATTTAAAACTCTATTCAGTGCAAGGTTTTAGCTTCAGGCAAACAAAGTTTTCACTCACAAAGATCAGTGTTTTGCAACCTGAACTATCTACAGAATGCACAGTGTAAGCTCTGGACTGTATAATTATGCACTGGTTAGAGAACTGCTGTAATGTTTCTGGAGCTTCCTCAAGTTTTAATGGGGCTTGGTAACAAATTTGAGATAAGATAAATTGACTAAATAAACCAGTTTGGTGTGGTGGGAAAATAACTGAATTAACAGCTAGGAGCTGTTAATTTAGGCAAATATGATGACGACAAAATAGTGCTTTACTCTAGATTTAACAGAACCAAATCACTCAAATTCACTGAAAGGGTGACAAATAGATTACAGATTAAAACTTAATGTAGTGAATATTCATGCTCACAAAGCAATAATTCTAATGAAAATCATAAGAAAAGAACACTTTGACAAATAACCAAACATATCTATGACATTAGCGTTGAGGATAATGTAAATAAGTTAAATAAAAATGTCCATACATAGAATAAATAATACAAAATTGTAGAATTTCATCTCAGGCACACATAAAATCCCTTTGGGGCATGACCTTGGTCCAGTCCATGAAAGTTTCTGTAGAAAAAGTGCGTTTTCAGTTGCAAATTCATCTTATTGTTTTACAAAGAGCTGCTTCAGTGGGACTTGTGTGAAAAGGATTCAGGGTGCCCTTGGTTTCTGTTGTCCTTCTTCTCTTTGCGAATAAATCTGCCAAGAAAAACAGGAAGAAAGAAGATGTTGATTCACTTATTATGTCCTCGGTATAAGCAAATAAGCGTGGCTACAGAATGAAGTGCGGGTGTCTAAGACTTGTTCCTCACCAGTAATTGGCGTGTTGCTTCTGGGCTTGGCTGGCTGCTTGGAGGGCGTCACTTCAGCGGGACACTTGTGGGTGTTGGAGATGCGGGAGCAGTTTTCCTGGTCGGTCCCTGCGCTTTCTTCACTGTCGCTCAACTTGTCATCATCCTCAGTGTTTGGCGAACAGACAGCGTCCTTCAGCTGTGCGGACTTCTGATAGAAAGCAGCAGCGCAATGTGCGGGGATTTCCTCCCACTGAAACCTGCCAGGCAGCGGCGTGTCAGTCTGGAAGTTAAAGTTCCAGCGGCGGATATCCTGCTCACTGATCTCCTTCAGTTTCAGCTTCAAGTCGCGGCGCAGCTGTTCGTGGTCCACAGCGCCAAACAGACTCCTGCAGACCGGCTCTCTGCGCCTGGTGGGATCCATTCTTCTACTGTAATAGCAGGGGTGAAGTTTTGGTTGGAAAAGTCTTCCTAAGGTTAAAGAGGCAGCTCTTGTTGCTGTCTCCTTGTGGCCTGCTCTGATCATCCCAAAGCTGCAGGGAGATTTAAAGGCTGCAGGGATGTTGTGAACACAATGCACAGAGGCTGCTGATTGGCTGAGAAGGGGAGAGGGCGAAATTCATTCATTGTGTGATGAACATCACTCTGCCACATCCATAAAAGTCTGCGGTTCCACTTAGGATACTTATGTTCAGTACTGTTATTAGGGCCACTCACCCCAACCAGTCGAGGTAGAAGGCCGCCCACCAAGAGCTGGGGTCTGTCACAGGTTTCTTCTGTTAAAGGGAGTTTTCCCTCCTGGCTGTGGCCAAGTGCTTGCTCAAGGAAGGGGGGGGGGGTTCCTCCAATAGTGGTAGTAGTAACGTCTAGAGTCTAGACCTCAGCTAGACCTTTGTTGTGATTTGGCACTAAACAAATAATATTTGAACTGAATTGAATTGTTCCTACAGTACATTCTGCAGTTAAAACTGGTCATTGTGTGTACATCTGACTGTTAGCAAAAGCAAAATACTCCTGAAACCTCTATGTTGTGCTGTTTGCTGAATGATTCCCTGGACGAAAAGACCCTGTATCTCAATAGGACCTTCCTGGTTAAATAAAGGATAAATAAAAGGATATGGATGAATAAATAAATGAAATGGGCGCCATAGCGTGGTGGCCTCACAGTGATTAGTGGCAACTAGGCAACGAGTGAGACTGAAAGTAGGTTTATGGTCTATTGATATCAGGAGATGACACTGATTTTAAGTTGCATACTATATATTCTGAGACTACAGTAATTAAAAAGTCATTGCTTTAATTGCTTTTTATAACCACTGAAAGAAGAATTTTCCCACATGTTAGAAATGTAGAAAGGCTCCATATTTTCATTTGCTTTAGTTAATATATGCTAATTATATGATCATTTCTACTTATTAAACTGTCTTTTAAGTTGCACTAGCCTACACTGAGGAACCTTAGAAAGGCCCTGTTTGCACTCAGGTAATTAAACACTTTCATAGCTGCCAGTAAAACCACATTCTGGCCACTTTAAGCAACTACACTGGAGAAGTTGGGGGTTATGGGTCAACATACAGCCAACTTTAATATTGATGAGGGAGGGATTGCTCACTTTCCCCAGATAGATTTTGCCGATCAATCTGATGACCTTCAACCACTGTTCTCTAAGTATTACGCCACCACTGACTGGATTCACACATTTCACTGGGCACTTTTATTCTAACAGTCTAAAAAATCATAATAAATTGGTTGGAAAATTGAGCTACGTTCCTGACAAACTACTGCTTCTCTGTGCTCTAATTAAACAAAGCACCACATAACCAACATGTTATGATGAAACTTATCACAACACATAACCAACATGTTATGATGAAACTTATCACAACAAGCATATAGATAGATAGATAGATAGATAGATAGATAGATAGATAGATAGATAGATAGATAGATAGATAGATATCCTCAACTCATATTAAATATTGAAAAACTGTCACTTTGACACAAAGGTGATCAAAGCTTGAGGCTCACAGGGAGGATTGCACTTTTTATATTATTCTATTTTCTATTTTGTTGTTTTGAAACTTGTTTGTGGACTTTGTATAATCCTTTATGAAGTCATGATTGTGCCAAAAAATGTAGAAGTTGGCAACTTGAATAGCAAAGAAAGACAAGTGTTTCTTTGCACAACGCAAGTATTTGGTCCTGATGAGAGCAAAGTGCAGCAGCTGACCAACATGCAAATGAATGGAGCGCATCGGTGTTCAGGATTGGCTGAAGGGAGAGCCCCACCTTTGCACCACTTCAGGTGATTCAGCTGAGGGCTGTGAAGGAAAATCCCTCAACTCACACAGGTGCGGTTCAACAGGGGGAGAAGTGGAGCAGTCGCTTCAGCCATGCAGGAGAGACAAGACATTCCCCTGGTGAGTATGTAAAGCGCAGCAGCTGTTTATCGCTCCAGTGAAGTTTAACTAGGTTTGTTTGAAAGGATGCTCTCAGGTAAATTAAATTATATATTGTACATGATGACAGTTGTTTTCCCATAAATCAGTGCGGCTACTGTAACACAAAGGTTTGCTCCTGGTGGAAATATAGGTAAATTGCCCTATGATTTGTGGGCTGTATAGTGTAAAACTGTTTATGATTTCATATCTGGAGGATGTTATTAGATAGTGAAAGCACTTCCCTTGAAAATAATGCAGAAGTTGTGGGTTTGTCTTTTCATTACCCATAAAAAACTCAAAGAGATGCACTTATGTACCTACCTTATTTCTTCACACACATTACAAATGTAGACACATAGTTCATACATTTCAGCCATGCAACTGATAGAATAAAACAAATCCTTACATTGGCCATCACTCTTTATGTATTGCATCTTAAATCTCATGACTCATGGGAAAGTTACAGTACATTCTTTTCCTGCAACAAAAAGACCAGCAACAAAGTATATTGGTTTGTGTACTGGTTTATAATTTTGCTCTTTCATAACCTGCCCTAAGTGGTTTGCATCACTATATTCATTGACATTGATTTTCAACTATGTTCCTATGAATGTCCAGTCTTGAAAAGCATTGCAATCTAAATGTAATAGTCCAGTAGATTTTCAAAAATATCCCTTTCTAAATTTAAAGGAAGAATGGGTTTGTATGTTTTTCTTCACTACATTTTAGAGGCAAATATTGAAGTTTTTTTCTCCACTACATACAGTTTGTGACATTAGTTAATTTTCAGAACAACATTAACACAAAAATTACAGCGTAATAATAAAACTTTAGTGATCTCCGGTGGGAAAATTCACAAATGGCACAGCAGTACTTCAAGTTATAAGCTTGTTAAAGCTTTATCATCTGGGACATTAAATGTGATGTGAACAAGAATGCAGCAGTATTTATAAATCAATAATATGGTGTACATTATTGTTCAATGTGCCATTCTGCACAATGAGTACATTTAGTTTTACCACTTTAAAAATGTTTTGATGCTCATATGTTTGTACTTGTATTTTTACACAGTTATATTTTACTTAAGTAATGGATCTAAGTACCTTTCCCCCCACTGCTAAACTTCAAGCAAAATGTAAACTTTCTCTCTCTGTGTGTGTGTGTGTGTGTGTGTGTCTGTAAGGGTGTCTGCAAAACACATGCACACACACAGCTGGGTGTCCTTTCTTCTACCTTTGCATGCAAATCATCTTGTTTGCATGCCCAGAGCCAGAGCTGTAGTCAAATAAAGGTTCCTGCATCAAGCTGCTCTCTTCAATCAAAATAGCTAGGCACAGAGCTAAACACAAATTGACTTTCAGCCTATGTGTTAACGACTGCAGTACAATCCTCTTAAAGCATCTCTCTCAGATCAAGGTACACAAGGAGACTGTTGCTTTTTTGTCAAAAAAATACACGCTTCTGTCGCATTTTGGTTTTAATCATCTTTCACAAGCAGCTCAAGTGCCCATGCAAATAAGCCTGTGTTTACTCAAGGAAATAAATAAACTTGTCATTAATGAATGCATTTAATTTTTGATATCATCATCATTTATTTTTATGGAGGCAATCATTCAGAGATATAAACAGATATGAGCTGTTTTTATCAGTATCAACACACAAACCAAGTCATAATGCCAAGAATACATTTTATAAACACTCCAGGCTGCATAATAAAAGTTATTATAGTCATTTCACATTGTACTGGAAGGGTTTTATGTTTAGAGGATCTGGTGGAAGCTTGCATTATTGTGGCCTAGTTTTCTTGGTTTCCTGAACCGCATTTCTAGTGTAAACGTCAGGCAGGAAGCACTTTGCATATGAAGCAAGGATGAAAATTCTGGCAGTGTGAACTGAACACAATTACTTCTACAGATCTTTCTGTCAGTGACAAGAGTGGTCAGTGAGTTTGTAGATGTAGAGGAAAAGGGGTGTAACACACGTGTGTTCATTTGTTTACAGGGGAAACAACAGCCGCAGACAAGATGCCTTCGATGTGGGGAAATACTGGAGTGGTCAGAGGAGCACAGGTGTGTATGTAGTGGTCAAAGTCAACACGAACAGAAAGGCCTGTTCCCTCAACATGAAGTGATGAATATAGGACACTCATGACAGCTGGCAGAAGCTATTATCTGAGGAAAACAATTGCAATAAAGAAATCACCATCAGATCAACTTAAAAGAGACATTCCCAAGGAATCAGATTAGCACAGTGAAAGATGTGCTGCACAAAGCAAACATTTGTACTAGGCTAACAAACCTTAACAAATTCCAAGTAATTTAAATTATTCATGAGAGCTGGTCACAGTTTGCTTTCTGTAGAACTGAACAAAGTGCTTCACTCCTGATACAGCAGATTATAGACAAAGCAACCAAAGCACAGAGTTCTTTAAGACCTTCACCAAGGAAAAATCATCAAAATTTAATGATAGAACCTGTGTACAGATTTTTAATAAACTTCTGCAACTGCTTCAACATAATATACATCATGATACTGTCAAAAGCTTTGAACCTGTGTTGAAATATTAGGATTTTGCCCCTTAAAACTAAGGGTTGCTGTATGGCACTCATTAATGAGCTGTGTCTTATTATGTATCAAACAAAAGAAAAAATTATATGGCATATCAAAAACAAAAAAGTAATGGTGTTTTGGGATCATTCAAATATGTTAATTACCAGTTATAGTGAAAACTAGATAGAAAAGGTTTTGCAAGAAGTGATTCTTAATTTTATATTTGAAGATTCCAGTCATATCCAGGTGCTTCCTACACTAGGGGAGAGCAGTGAGACGGGATAGTCCTGGTGCATGTTTATGAGGAACTTGGTGACAGGGATGTTCCATGTGTGCAGTAGAGTAGATCAGATTTTGCTACAGCAGGAGGTTTTTCTTTAACTACTGTGTGTTAGTAGAAAGGTCTGTATAATAAAATACTCATATCCAATTACCATGCATTTCTCTAGTGCCCTGCTGGGCTGCTCCTGCTGCTCTACAGTGGATGAGACGCTGGAGAACGTAGCCAGAGGACTAGCCAGCAGAATGATGAAGGAAAAGAGTCACTGGGCTGCTGGGAGA